AGTAGGAGGCAAGTGAAGGCTACCCAGGTGTTTCTAAGGAAGAAAGCACCTAATAGGACCCGGGTTGCTTTGGATACCTTGACTCATTTCATCTGCATGCAACCTGTGGGTGGGTGTCATTACCCCCCCCCCTCCACCAATTTAAAGGAAGCTAAGACCTGTTTGTTTGCTTAGGGACATAGCTGTTAGGTTTTCATTCTGGGGTCTTCCCCTCTCCGCCCTTCTCATCCTCCACTCACATTTCTAGTGGCAGCATTTCCCCTGCCCTCCCTAAGGCAGCAAATAATTTGAGTCTTTTCTCAGGGTCTTCCTGCCAGCCTCAGAGGATTGGGCAGAGCTGTGGGTCTTCCCTGTGGAAAGCTGTCCAGGGGCAGGGCTTGGCTGCCTCTGTGACCTCCATCCTGTCAACGCAGGAGAAGGCTGGCAGGAGCAGCCTCCAGGGCCAAGCCCAGCTCTGCAGACCATCTTCTCCCCAAAGGTGGGTCCAGCAGTCTAGAAGATTCCCTGTACCTCCTCAGAATCCAGGTATGTTCTTCGGGGCCTCTGTTAATGAAACAGCTACTCTGATCATCAGCTGGCTTCCTGTGTCTACTATTCACTCTCTAAACCTGCACTAATGCAGCAGCCACTAATCACACCTGTGGCCATTTAAATTTACCTTAATTGAAATTTAAAAATTCAGTTCCTCAGTTGCACTAGCTACATTTCATGTGCTCAGTAACCACATGAACCGAGCAGCTATCTACCTCATTGGACAGCACAGATATCAAATATTTCCATAGTCTCAGAAGTTTCTATTGGACAGCCCTGCTCCATATGTTAACCCCCAGAGCAGTGCGGAATTGCTGGCAGCCCAAACAGCCCCAAACTGTCAGCTGAGTTTGGCCCTAGGCAGGTAGCAGACGTGTGGTGGGATGGGCCACCTAGCCCTGCACCTTGGCTGGTGTCATCACTGACCCCCTCTTCCTTCCGCCCTGGAAGACCACCAGGGCAGAGGTTCCCAGCGTTAGTGAACGGGGAGGGCGCTGGGAAGGTGCCATTTCTGCAAACTGCGCCCCGCAGCCAGGCGGGAAGTTCTGGGCACCTTGGCCAGATGGCTTCAAAAATCTAACCCCTCTCTGAAGGTGCTGGGGACCAGGAATCACCTCCTCCCATTCCACTTTCCCCGACCTTGGCCCTCTCTAGCCCTCAGGGGGCTCGAGCCCACGGAGAGGCTGTCACCCCCCTCCCCTCCCAGGAGGGTCCTCCCAAGGGGCGGGGCCGCACTCACCGAGGACCCGGGCGCAGGGGCCAGCAGCAGAGGCACGAGCAGCAGCAGCCGCATCTCGGCCAGGCCTGCGGAGAGGCCGGGGTTGGAGGGGGCGGGGCAAGGACCCGGCAACGCCCCACCCCGAGCCTCATGCTCCCAGCCGTCTCCTGGGCCCGCGCGGCGGCAGCGTGTCCCTCCCTCCCCCTGCCCACAGGTGACCCGGAGACACGCTGGAGGGACGGGAGAGGATGCCGTGGGGTGCAGCGGAATGGCCGTGCCATTCACACAGCGAGGGAGGGAAGGCCTGTCTACAACTGGCTTCTAAAAGTTCAGGAGTTTCAGGGTTTGAGGGGAGAAAAGAGGACAATTAAATACTTCCTTGTTGAAAAACAGCTCAGAATCGAAGCAATCAGACTCACTGTTTTAATTCAGCAAGAGATTCCTTTTAAAAAGCCATTACACTACTTGTTTAAAAACTCGTTAATATAGATGTTTTAAATTTTTTAAGGAACTTTCCAAATTCAAATGATTTTAAAATGTTAATTGTATCTTACTTGAAACCCAAGCCAGCATTTCTGCACTGGAGAAGCTCCACAGTCTGGGTCCAGAAGTGGGTCGTGGGGGGAGTGTGTGTGTGTGTGTTTGTGGACTGCCCGTGTGGAGTTTGGTATGTGCATGCATGCGAAGTGGGAGAGTGCAGTGTGTACAGAGTGTAGTCTGGTGCGTGGGTGCAGTATGTGTGCATGTGTAAACATGTCACTGTACTGGAAAATGACACAATGTGCCCCGTTCAGTACAGAACGTTAAACAAGTACTGGCTTGTATGCTTAAAATTTAAAATCTGTAATTCTACTAAAGTTCTCTTTAATTTTTTAAGCATAAAATGACTTCAGTTTACAAGAATAAAATAGCATACCTAATACAACCTGGCAAATTTAACGACGCACATGGTCTGTTAACTTAGCACGAACAGTGTTTCATGTTATCATTTTCACCGCAAACCTGAGGTTCCCAGGGCTTGGCGGGGTGAGGGCGGTGGGGTTCGGCCTCACCCTTCCCACCGCCGCGGCCCAGCCTCACTCTGAGGCCCCTCCTGGAAGAGCCGTGGGCAGAAGGGGAAGCCGCGGCGCCCGGGGACCCTTGTTCTAGGACTAATAACGAAGGTGATGCTCTAGAGTAGAGACAGCCTTTCAAGGGAGGGGATGAGCATCGGTTAGGGTAGAGACGGCAAGAAGGACAAGAGGGAAAAACTATATAGTTGCCACAAGGGGCTGGCAGGCGGGGCGGGTCTGCGGCTCCGCGCCAGGCGTGCCGGGGGCGGGAGTGTAGGGTCCCCGCGCGTCCTCCCCGGCCGCCCCCAAAAGAGGATCACCCCGTGCCCGCCCTGCCCGAGGAACGCGCCCATGCAGCCCCGGAGGCGGGAGATCCGGCTTCGGACATGGGATGCGGGGCTGGCCCGGCAGGAACCCGGGGCTCGGGCGCTCCAGGCCCATGGCCGCAGAGATACGGAGGAGGGACTGCGCTGGTCTCGGGGGCTCTGCGCCAGGAACTGCGCCCGACGGAAGGCAGCGCTGAACCCCGCGAGGCTGCCCTGGTTGCCTCCGACCGCCCGGCCCCAGCCCTATTCCCGGCTCCCAGCGTTTCCTTCCCGCCG